CATCCATCCATCCATCCATCCATCCATCCATCCATCCATCCATCCATGTGCTCATCTATGTACTCATCCACCCATAAATATACTAACCCATATATCCTTGTATCTATCCACTCACCAATTCCATCCATCCATCTACATATACGTATCCATATAACTATTGCTCCATCCATCTACATATCCACCTATCTACCCATTGATGCATCCATTCATCAACTTATCCACCTATCTCCTCTCATTTATCCCCTAATCCAGCCGCTCAGAATCCATTTCTCCATCTACTCATCTATCCACTCACTTATCCATTCATCCACCCACCAACACATTTCTAAGGCCATAAAGTGCCAGGTGCCTTGCTAAGGTGTTGGCAATCAAGTATGAGTAATCCAGGTTTTGGTCCAACTTTGAGGAACATAAGCTCACCCCGGAAGGACTAGAGACAATGGTCCTAGAGTAATCACAGAGGTTCTTATACAGATGTACACTGTGAAAAATTACAGTGGGATGGAGAGAAACAGGTGCTCTGAAAAATTTCAAGAGGTCAAGCTAGATCTAGGATTTATGGCACACTCAAGGACCTAAAGGGTCACTCCCCAGGGCCCTGAGCAGATCCTGCATGCTGGATGTCTGGGAGACAGAGACATTATCCATGTGACACTTATTTCTTGGAAACCACCAGCTTTTGTGGTCTGGAAAAACCTTAGCAACCCTTTGCAACTGTAGAATCTGAGGCAGGAAGCTAAATCACAGCTTCCCAAAGCTTCTTTCAACCCTGTGGGATCAGCTGCTGAAGAACCAGAGAACCTGGAGAGGCCAAAGCCTTCCTTGGATAGGGAACCTGGGCCTCAGCCAGGCATGCTCAGCCAACAGGTGGCAGAGAAGGCAGTGGGGCCCAAGCTCAGCTGAATTGCTCTTCCCTAGGCTGAACGCTATGCTCTGCAGAGGGAACTCATCTCCCCGGAACCCTGGGGGTTTCTCCAGGACAAGCCATCCTTAGGTGCAGGGAAGCAAAATTATAAGTCTAAAAACAAAAAGCCCAAACCAAAAACATTAAAAATATGCAAAGTATAAAGCTGTGAAGAAGAAAAGTGAGGGGCTGGAGAGATGACTCAAAGGTTCAGAGCACCAGCTGCTCTTCCAGAGGACCCTCGATCAGTTCCCAGCAACCACACGGCATCTCACAACTGTCTGTAACTCCAGTACCAGGGGACCTGACCCCTTATAGAGACATAGATACAGGCAAGACACCAATGCATATAAAACAATAAAAGGAACCATTTTTTAAAAGATTTATTTTACATATATAAGTGCTTTATCTGCAGGTCACCATAACAAGATATCAGATCCCAGTATAGATGGTTGTGAGCCACCATGTGGTTGCTGGGACTTGAACTCAGGACCCCTGGAAGAACAGACAGCGCTCTTAACCACTGATCCATCTCTCCAGTCCCAAAAGTGGAATCATTTAAAATGTTTTTAAAAAGAAGAAAAAGGAACTCCTTAAACTATGTCATAGCCCTGCTCTTTTGTTTGAGATGAAGTTCCATGTAGCCCAGGCTGGCCTCCAATTCATTATGTAATCAGGGAAGACTTTGAGCTCAAAGTCTTGATCCTCCTGCCTCCATGTCCTTAGTGGTTAAGGTTACAGCTTTGTGCTGGCTCAGTGGGCTTATGCATTGTGGGGGATTGAACCTGGGGCTTTGTGTATGCAAAGCAAGTGCTACATCACAGTATTAGTAGTAAGGTTTTTCCGTAATTATTTTTTTCCTCCCATGGGATTTGCTGTTTGAGAAGGTTCTACCTATGTCATTTAAGCAAAAATGCTTTTAGGGACATCAGCTTTGAGAACAAAGGTCAGCGTCAGCCCTATCTTAGGCTGGATGAGCCCAACTTCTGCTCTAGTGTGAACGTGATCACAGACAATACATGTGGACTTGTTCCAAGATGTCATTAATGGACGCTGAAACATGGATTTCAGATTACTTCTCATCGAATCTTATACTTCTTTCATTTAAAAATGTTAGTTTGGGAGCTGGGGAGATGGCTCAGAGGCTGCTCTTCCAGAGGTCCTGGGTTCAATTCCCAGCAACCACATGGTGGCTCACAACCATCTATGAGATCTGGTGCCCTCTTCTGGTGTGCAGGCACTGTATACATAGAACTCACAACACTGTATACATAGTAAATAGCAGCACTCTGGGAGGCGGAGACAGGCAGATCTCTGTGAGTTTGAGGCCAGCCTGGTCTACAAATTGAGTCCAGGACAGCCAAGGCTACACAGAGAAACCCTGTCTTGAAAACAAAACAAAACAAAACAAAACAAAACAAAACAAAACAAAACAAAACAAAACAAAACAAAAGCCGTTAGTTTGGGTGGTCACCCTTCAATCCCAGCACTCAGGAGGCAGAGGCAGGCAGATCTCCATGGGTTTGAGGCCAGCCTGGTCTACATACTGAATTTCAGGTTGGCCAAAGCTACACAGTGAGCCTCTGTCTTAAAAAAAAAAAAAAAGTTAGGAGGATTGGAGAGATGGCTCATTCCAGTTCCATCACAGGGCTGGAGTTGTAGTCCCTCCACATTGGCAGACTCATGCCACCTGCAACTCCAGCTTCAGGAGATCCAATGCCCAAGCATACCTACTCAAGTGCACACACACACATTTTAAAATGGCACACTGGCTGCTCTTCCAGAGGACCTGAGTTCAGTTCCCAGCACCCATGCCAAGGGACTCGTAGCTGCTTATGACTCCAGGTACAGAGCATCTGTCACCCAGTTCTGGCCTCCCCAGGCACCTGCACACACGTGGCACACCCTCACAGAGACACACACACATAAACAAAAACAAACCTTTTGTTGTTGTTGTTTGAAGTAGGGTTTCTCTGTGTGCAGCCCTGGCTGTCCTGGAACTCATTTTGTAGATCAGGCTGCCCTCGAACTCACAGAGACACTCCTGCCTCTGCCTCCCTGAGTGCTGGGATTAAAGATGTGTGCTATAACATCCGGCAAAATAAACCTTTAAAAAAAAATGTGTGTAGGTCCCCTTCTGCAGCCCACCAGAGGCGACCCTTCTGACAGATTCAGTATGAGAAAATGATCTGTTCAAAGACGACTCTATAAGATATTTCAATTGGAATTGTCTTAGGGGGTGCTCAGAATGTGAAACCACCCAAATACCTTAGGCCAGTGGTTCTCAACCTTCCTAATGCTGTGAGCCTTTAATACAGCTCCTCATGACCCGCAACCATAAAATTTTGTTACTCTGTAACTGTAACTTTGCTACTGTTATGAATCGTAATGTAAATATCTGATATTCAGGGTATGTGATTCGTGACCCCCAAAGGGGTCTGAGGCCCACGTGTTGAGAACCACTATTCTACAGTGAAGAAACTGTGAAACACACCATTGAAAAGATTAGTGCCTCCTGACAAGTATGTTTTGGCTATGATGATGTCCCCTATAGAGTCACATGTTTTACAAAAAACGTGGCTTTCCAGGCGGTGGCGCTGTTTGAAAAGGTTTCAGACTCTCTAGGCCACTTCCTTGCTGGAGGAAACACGTGGTGGATGTGGGTCTTGAGGATTAACTGTCTTTCCCTGCACCTCCTGAATGCTGATGCCACGTGTCAAGCAGGCCTCAGGCTCCTGCCACCGTGATGGACTCTATCCCTCCGGAACCCTGAGCTGAAATAAGCCCTCCCTCCCTTAAGTCGCTTTTCTATCACAACAGCAGCAAACTGAGACAACAGAGGATGAAATAAATCCTCACTGACAAGAACATGAAAATATACTTTTATTTTTAATAAAAAGATTTAAATCTCACAGTAAGGCCTTAGATAAATACCATTAAAAATATTAACAGTGCTTAGCTCTACGGCAGACTCAACCCTTTATCCAGCTGGCTGGGGTGGCACATGCCCACGTTCCCAGTGCTCAGGGGGCTAAGGCATAGCGATGTGGAGTTCAAGGTTAGGCTATGTGTTGAGACCCCACTCGGCTCCTTTTTCCTAGATTGTGTCTGTCTTTTACAGGTTTTCTCTGAGTGAGAGACTTGGGGGTGTGGTAACAAAAACTTGATGGGTCAGTGAGTTGAGTTGTCAGAAACTGGGATTGGGGCTGTCCCCTCTTTGTCAGATGGTACAAGTGGCTCCAGCTGCTGTGGGAGAAGATTTGAATGCCCTCATGGGGACAGAGGAAAGGGGAGAAAGATAACTCTACCTCCTTGTTCCCTACAGGAAGGCATTTCTCAGGGTGGTCCTGGTCGTCCAAACTTCCCCAACAGCATTGCCGGCTACACACATCTCCTTCCCACCTTCTCCATCCTGGGAGAAGAATGGCATGGCTCATACTCTCTTCTCCGCAGAATCTTTGGAGGGAGTGTTGAGTCTGAGAACCATGGTGGACTCAGGCCCTGCGCCTGTACACCAAAGACAGAGGCCTCTGCAGTGTGGCAGAGGGCAGGATAAGATGGAGGAGGTCCTGGCCCCAGGGACTCAGATGGTTTAGTGGCTCCTCCGTCTGCTGCCGCAGTGGCCATTCTGTGACTCCTTTTCGAGGTCCTGAATTAGATCTTTCTGGAACTGCCTGTGGTATGAACAGAGCAGGGGCTGCCTGAGGGGAGCAGCTATTGCTTGAACCAACCTGTTCTCCCAGGAAGCCTTCCTGAGGTGGGGTCATCATCTCCCCCACCCCATGCTGCCTGCCTGTATGTGAGGGGTGATTCTCTCTGTTGATCAAGTGCCAAAACCTCACGGGTGAAGCTCTGGGTGGCTCCAGGCTGAGCCTCACTACCTAGCTGGGTCATCTCTGGTGACATGGAGTTTCAGCTTCCTCATTGGCAAATGGGGATAACAGAATCCAGCTCTTAGGATCCGGAGGAGGATTCCACCAGAAAATATGTCACGTATTCAACTGTCTGTGACATGGTACATCAGCGCTCACTTACACAGCCTCGGGACTGATTCGTTCCAACGCATGCCTGCTCAGGTGTACTGTTTCCTGTTTCCTCTTTCTCATGTAGAAAAACTGGGCTTCCTGAGCCCCAGGAAAGAGGAGTCACATTCCCAAAACAAGTCCTGGGGCCACTTGTCAATCCAGTCCTCAGGCTCTTCCATGTCCCTCCCAGCTGGAGGTTTTTGCGGAAGGTTGGGGGTAGGGGAAGGGGGTATGGCTACCTTGACATGGCCAACCTGTTCCCAGCTTGGAATTGTAGGTCCTCAACCTCCTGCCGCAGGGTGGTGTTTTTCAGTGCTAATATCAGGTTTTTTTCTTTCTGTAACAAACCAAGAAGGAGCCTGGAGCGGAGCAGCTGGCTCACTTGGCAGGCACAGTGGATGCCAGCCATCACCTCTCCCCCAGACACTGCTTCATTCTGGATTACCATTTCACTTTATGGAGCAAGAAGCTGACTGGAAACAAGGTCAGAGTTAAGACGGACTGTCGGCTTGACTTTTGCTATTGAAGAATGTTACAAACAAAAGTCAGTGCTGGTAAGATGGTTTAGTCAGGGCTGGAGAGATGATGGCTCAGTGGTTAAGAGTAGTGGCTGCTCTTCAAGAGGATCTAGGTTCAGTTCCCAGAACCTACGTGACAGCTCACAATTGTCTGTAACTCTAGTTCTAGGGGCTCTGACACTCTCACATACACATACGTGCAGCAAAAACATCAATTCATTCTCATGAAAATTAAAAAACAGTCTGAAAAGACAATAAATAGGTGTAATTCTACCTATTTTTAAAAAGAGAGAGAGATGGAGAGATGGCTCAGTGGTTAAGGACACTGGCTGCTCATGCGGAGGACCCAGGTTTGATAGCTAGTACCCACATAGCTTTTCATAACTGTAACTCCAGTTCCCAGGGGTCCAGTACCCTCTTCTGGCCCCTGTGTAGATGTGGTTCACAGACAGCCATGTAGGCAGAACACGCATACACAGAAAATAATAAAAAGAAACCTAAAAAAGGTTAAAGAAAGAAAAGGATGGCTGGAGGGCAGAAGGGTGTTTTCTGCCAAACTGGACTATCTGAGTTTAATCCCAGCCACCCACATGGTGAAAGGAGAGAACTCACTCCTGCAAGTTGTCCTTCGACCTCCTCCCCAGGCATGCCATGGTATGTACCCATCCATCCATCCATCCACAAAATCCATCAATCAATAAACAAATAAGCAAACCTAATAAAAACCCAAACAGACCAACCCCACATTTTGACAGGACCTAAGGGTGATGACGTCCCAGGGTTCTGAGACCTTAGTTCTGGGTCTTCAAAGGGCCTCTGTTCTCCAGTTTCCTTTATGGAGGCTAGCCTATCTGCCTGGCCCTGGGCCTCACCTCCTTCCTTAGCCCCTGCCCGAAGTGTGACAGGCTGCTGGGGAAGAGGTGGAGGGAGTGGGATGGATGAGGGGGGTTGGGGGCGGGGCTGGGGGGAGCACTGTCCTAGTTACAGCAACCAAGGGCCCAAGAAGAGGCAGGAGTCAGGTGACCAGGAGCTGCTGCCTGACTCAGACCAGATTCCTGCAGGAGCAGCAGAGCCAAGCTGGCAGGGGCTGGGTGGGGGATGGGGTTGGCAAATGCCCAGAAAGGAGCAGCCTGCTGCCGTCCTAGCACTGACCAGCATCTCCAGGAGGAAGAGCTGCTTCTCCAGCTCGTGAATTCGCTCATTCTTCATCTCAATAACATGGTGCAAACTCTCCAGCTCTTGCTCCCAGAATGGGCCGGGGCTCCCATAATCCTAGGGAAGGAGAAAGAAGGACCCCATTGACCAGCATGGTGACCCACTGCTCTTCAACCTGCCAGAAACTCACTGCATTGGTCTTGCGTGAATTCTCCCCTTTCACAGCCCATGCTGTATTTCTCTGCTCTCCTCCCGGGGGCGCTCTTTGAGGCATGTGTCTGGTGGGTACACAGCTGCAGTTTGGTAGGCTGACATGCTACCTTACGCCAGGTTTGCCAGTTGCTCCATGTTCTCTCTGGACCCATAGAGCTGTGTGCTCCATCGTGTGTCTGCCTATCTCTTGCTTCCGGGCTCTTGCGAAGGGGAATGCTTCAGGTTTGAGGCTAGCCGACTGTGGTTGCCTGCCTGTGACCTTCACACAGCATCAAGGATGAAGGCCTGCCAGTGTTTTGCACCTACCTGGATGTGGTTCTTATAGAGCTGGCTAAGGAGGGACCCGTCCGCCTTGTTCGCTTTAGCTTGGATGGCCTCCTCTGGTGAGGCCAGCGTCCCACAGGTGTTCTGGAGAAGGGAGCAGGAGGGAGATAGCAAAGAGCCTGGTCTGTCAAGGTGATTCTTATCGTGTCAGTAGGGAAGGGCTGCGTTTGCTCACTGTGGTTCTGGCCCGCAACACACATTGCACAGCAGAGCAGGCCGAACCCACTGCTAGTCTGAAACATCCCAGGACAACCTTTCACCATAGAGCGTTTAATGGCTAATGCTGACTGATACCTTGACAGGATCTAGCATCACCAAGACACAGACCTCTGGGTGTGCCTGTGAGACTGTTTCTAGATCAGGTTAACTGAGGTGAGAAGAGCCACTTTGAATCCCAGTGGCACTGTGCCGTACGTAGGCTGGGGACCCAGGCGGAATGGAAAGGAAAAAGGGAGCTGCACAGAAGTGTTGCCTCTTAACTATGGCTGCAGTGACCAGCTGTCATACCTTCCCACCATGACGGAATAATGCAAACCATGAGCTGACATGAACTCCTCCTTCCCTCCATTACTTCTTGTCGAGCATTTGATCACAGTAGTGAGAAAAGTTAACTAACACAGACCTCTAAACTCTTGGGTTGATGTCCTGGTTATCTAACCAACGTCAAGCTACATTCAAAGCCCAGGCATGCTGGGCTCTCTCTGCTTGCCATCCTCCACTTCTGTGGCTCAGCATCACATCGTACCCCAAACTCAGGGCCTGTTCTCTCTGTACCGTTCCCCTGACAGAGATCTCCTCAACCACTCCCTTTGTGGTAGAGCCCAACCTCTTCCTATGTTCCCAGGCTCAGTCCCATCCTGTGGCCCTTACCTCGACCTGGCCCTTTCATACCCCTGGCATCCTGGACTTCCTTAGGCACCCTGTTTCTACCCCTTTCTCCAAGCTTTTGAGCAAGTTGCTTGATGTTGCCTAGGGCTTCCTTCCTGCTCTTCCTCACTGATGCATCTCAAGTGTCTTCCAGGCATAGACCTCATCCCTCTGGGAAGTCTCTCTGAACACCTGCCTCCATGACACCACAGTCCCTTGACCTCTCAGTGCCAGCCTCATCCTGCAGCTTATGCCATGTCTAAGACCCTCCTAACGGACCTTGGTAAGTGGTCTATTTTCATTTCTGTTGCTATGCAATAAAACATCCCAACACAAACCAGCTTTGGAACAGAGAGGATTCATTTCAACTTAAAATTCCAGGTTGCTGTCCATTGTGGAGAAGTCAAGGCAGGAACTTCAAACATCTAATCCCAGCATATTCACAGAAAAAAAAAAAGAACAACACAAACAAAAACACAACAACAACAAAGCTGAGAAAGTAATGTATAAAGGCTCACTCGCTTGCTGGATTGTGTCAAATTGATATCTCCACCCTCTGTAGTTCAGGACCCTTGGAATTCACTGGGTGTTGGGTGTTCCCACATCAGGCTGGGCTTTTCCACATCAGTTAGCTTAACTCAGACAATACCACACGGGACAACACAACGCAGACAATTAATCATTGAGACTTTCTTCCTGGACTACTCTAAGTTCTGTCAAGATAACAATGAGTAATAAAGCTGACGGGTTGGAGAGACGGCACTTCCTTCTTGTTCATAGGACCGAGTTCAGTTCCCAGCACTCACACGATGGCTCACAACTGTCTATAGCTCTTTTCTGGTGTATCCAACTACCTCTTCTGGCCTCTGAGGGCATCAGACACACAAGTGGTCATAGACATACAGACAGACAAAAACCTACACATAAAATAACATAATAATAAAAAATTAATTAATCCCCTCCCTCAAAAAAAAAATAACTACCACAGAAAAGGAAGCCAACCTTAATTACAAGCCAAGCCCCCTTAACCAACTGTCTGGTCACCACATCAAAGGACCAGGAGACAGGAAAAGCAAGCATCTCAGTCCCCATAATCTACAGGCATCATTTTTGGCCGCCTTGGGGTACCATGTGGCTTCTTTGCCATTTCTCCACCACCTACACCCAAACGGCCAGGCCCTTCTTACCTGCACTGGAGCCTTGGCCTCTTGGACACAGTCACTGAGTGTGTCTTTCTCCCAGGCATTTGATGTCTTTGGGACTGTGAAGAAAAGAGATCTCTATAAACCCAAAGCCTCTGTCAAGTTCCTTGAGGTCTAGAAGGTCTAGAAGGGTCCACAGGTCCCAGGAGCTGAGCAATGGTCTTCTTCATGATTCTCTCTCCCAGGCTGGCTCAGGAGCTATGCTGGTTAGTTTATTGTCAACTGGATAAAATCCAGAGTCACTTAAGAGGAGGGAACCTCAACTGAGGAATTGCCGAGGTCAGATTGGCCTGTGGGTATGTCTGTGGTACCTCTGCCTTGACTTCTAATCGATGTGGGAGGGCTCAACCCACCATAGCAGGGCAGATGGCCTGGGTTATGTAGGAAACTAGCTAAGCATGAGTAAGTGAGAGCCAGAGAGCATGCTAACAATCAGCATCTTTCCATGGAGTCTGTTTTCAGTTCCTGCCCTGACCTCTCTCAATATGGAGCATGACCTGGAAGTATAAGCCACATATAAACTCTTTTCTCTCTAAATGTCTCCTCCTGAGAGTATTTCAACACAGCTCCAGGAAGGAAAGCAGGCCAAGAGTCAGGGACATTCATAGGTGTTAACAGATCCCTGGGAAATAGAAACATCTCATTCTGGGAGAGAGTGAGCCCTACCAGAGCAGGAGGGTGCTCACGCGTCCCCGGGGCTCGGATGCAAGGACCCCACAGCAGGCGTGACGGCAGGCCAGGGAAAAGGTGAAGTCATAAAAAGGACAGAGCACGTGAGGCAGGCACCCCCAAAGTCCTGCCTCCCCTTCTTCAGAACGGAGAGACTGAGGTGGTGACAGCAAGCGGCCCAAAGCCCATCACCTCAGCTGTGAGGCAGAGACAAGGAGCTCCACCAAGTTGTCTCCAAGGGCAGGATGCAGGGGAAAGAGATTTGCTAGGTCTTTGCAGATGGGCAGCGCAGAATGCTGGAGTCGGTCCATCCCACGGTGGGTCTCCTTAGACTCCACCTTCCCAGAGACCCTCTTGGGAAAATTCCCAGTCTTATCAGATGGCTCGCTCAGAAATAATGGTCAATCAATAACCAGGCAGAAAAATACAGCAGGGGTGATGGGAAAAAGGGAGTTAACAGCAGGCAAAAGGCCAGGGTCACAGAGAGCAGCGTCACAGAAGAGAGAGCTCATAGCCAGATATGGTGGTTCACACCTGTAATTCCAGTAGTTACAAGGCTCAGACATGGGGATCACCAGAAGGTCAAAGCCGGCCTAGGTTATAGAGTGAGACCTTGTCTCAAGAAAACCAAATAGAACCAGCAGAGTAGGGTACACCTTTTATACCAGCACTTGGGAGGTTGAGGCTGAAGATTTTCAGTGAGTTTGAGGCCAGCCTGGTCTACATGGCAAGTTTCAGGCCCAAGAGGGCTACCCAGCGAGACCTTGTCTCAAACAATGACAACAACAATCAACAACAAAAGTAGCAAATGAATTTTTGTTTGTTTGAATTAAAGTCTCACTATGATGATTTGAGTTTGATCCCCAAGAACAGATGGTAGGTGGAGAGAGCTGATTCCCACAGTTTGTCCTCTGACCTCCGCATATGTGCTATGGTATACACTCACCCATACACACCCACATCATACACAAATAAATAGACAGACAGAAAGAAAGAATGGAAGGAAGGAAGGAAGGAAGGAAGGAAGGAAGGAAGGAAGGAAGGAAGGAAATAAAGACAGGAAAAAATTCTGACTATTGGGAAGATCTGACCGGCATTCCCCCTGGGCTCCATAGTGGGTCACTTTGCAGCTATATATTTATTATACTAAATATTATTAAACCACGGGCTTTCCCATGTAGGTAGAGAAGTTGCACTTCTGAGAAAGTGGCAACAATCCAGGTGCTGAGCCAGGTGTGAAGCTGCTTTCCAGGGGTTCTAGTTCTTACGCCAAACATTCTTCACCAAGGTCACATTGTTTCAAGGATTTGAAACTTGTTCAGACCTCTGTCCTAGTTACTATGTTTCTGGGAATGGAAGAATTGAATGCCAATGGAGAAGTAAATCTTCATGAAAAAGATCACTTTTAAGAATCAAATCTAGCCGGGCAGAGCAGTGCATTCCTTTAATCCCAGCATTCAGGAGGCAGAGGCTTGTGGATCTCTGTGAGTTTGAGGCTAGCCTGGTCTACAGAGTGAGTTCCAGGGTAGCAAGGGCGGTTACATAGAGAAATCCTGCCCCTAAAAAAGACAAAAAAAAAAAAAAAAATTATTTCTAGGAAGTAAGCAAACCCACATGTATTGTGGTCTAAACTTGCTTTTTTTTTTTTTTTTTTTTTTTTTTTAATGAGACAGGGTCTTACCTTGCAGCCCAGACTGGCCTTACATTCCCTGTCATTCTTCTGCTTCAGCTTCCTGAGTGTTGGATTACTGTCAGCCTTCATTTTTGTAGTTGTACTTGGTAACCCGCTTGATACAGTATCAAATGAAAAAACAAAAACAAAACAAAACAAAAAACAAGGGCTAGAGAGAGGCTCAGGGTCAGGAGCTGTTCTTATAGAGGACCAGGGTTCAGTACCCAGTACCCACATAGCACAGCTCATAATCGCTTATAACTGGAGCTTCAGGGAATCTGATGTCCTCTTCTGGCCTCTGAGGGTACACATGAGTACACACACACACACACACACACACACACACAATTTTAAAGAACAGGATATAAAATTTGCACCTGAATTCTATATGCTCACGACAGCTTATTTAAAAAGTAATGTGGAGCCAGGTATGGTAGCTCATGCCTTTAATTCCAGCACTCAGAAGGCAGTGGCAGGTGGAACTCTGTTAGTTCAAGGCTAGCCTGGTCTTCATAGTGAGTTCCAAGACAGCCAAAGATACATAGTGAGATTCTGTCTTGAAAAACAAAACAAAACAAGAAGTAATTCTAGAGAAGGGTCAGGAAGCTGTATGTTTTTTTTTTTTTTTTTCCCAAGGCCAGTTTCAATGCTGTTAAACACATAATAGCTTTCCCAAAGTGGCTATTCAAATGCCAACAGTACACAAAAAGATGTCACTCAGTTACTAGCTAGGAAAATGCAGATCAAAAGTCTAATAAACCAGGCATGGTGTCACACCCCTGAATGCTCAGTACTAACAAGGTTGAGGCCAGGCCAGCTGTCTAAATAACATCCCGCCTCTAATTTAATTACATTTAATTCCAACACTTTAATTCCAGCATTCAGGAGGCTGAGGCAGGAGGATCACTACAAACTGGAAGCCAGGCTGGGCTACTAGTAAGTTCCAGGCTAGTCAGGGTTACACAGTTATGTCTCAAACAATAGCAAGCCAACAAACAACAATAAATCAAACACGCGTGCCCAATGAGATGCTATCTTATGCTCACCACGGTGATGACAGCAATGGACAAACTACTCGGTGACTGGGCTGTGGAGCCACTGGGACTCTGGCGCCTTACTAGGAGGAGCACGAAGTAAAACAGCTGCTATGGAAAAGAGTTTGAGAGTTTCTCAAAAGGCTGAGTATAGAAATGAGATAGGTACTTGGGCTAGTGGTATCGTTCACAGGGGCTGGAGGTAAAGACAGCTTGAACATCCATGCAGCGGAGTATTGCTCACCCATAGGAAAGAAATGGAGTCCCAACATATGTTGTAACATGGCAGCATCTTGCTGGGTGAAGCAAGCCAGGCTGTCTGATGCCATTTGTATGAGTCTGATACCATGAAATCAGGGAACAGATTGGCAGTTGCTAGAGGCTGATGGGAGGATAAGGAGTTTCTTTTTGGGGTGAGGAGAATGATCTGGAACTGAGTGGTAGTAATGATTTGCATGCATTGTAAAGGCACTAAATGTCACCAGTGTCACACATACCAATGTTGTATATGTGTTTTACCTATCTGAAAAAAAAATGTATATACGTGAACTTGGTCATTTCAATTCTAAGTTTTACAGTAACTATGAATGTGACAAAAGACCTATTTAATTTAAAAAAAATGTGCTAATTTGTGTGTGTGTGTGTGTGTGTGTGTGTGTGTGTCTGCTTCTCTGTGTGGGGTATATGTGCATGACTGTAGTACCTGTGGAGGCCAGAAGAGAGCATTTGATCCTACAGAACTGGAGTTACAGGTGGTTGTAAGCTTCTAGATGGGGGAGCCAGGAACCAGACTTAGGTCTCAGTACATATGGTCAGCTGCTGAGTCATCTCTGCAGCCTTTGCGTCATTTTTTGAGACAGGTTTTGCTGCGTCTCTAAATTGGTTTTTTAACTCACTATGTCACCCAGACGGGCCTTAAACTTACAGTGGTCCTCTTATCTTTAGCCTTTGTATAATGGAATTTCTTGAGCCATGATTGGCTATCCTTTTCTTTTCTTTTTCTGTGTGAATATGGTATGTGTGTGTGTGTATGTGTGTGTGTGTGTGTGTGTGTGTGTGTGTTCAGAGGATAACCTCAGAGGTTGATCTGGTTTGATACTGTATACACTAGGTTAGTTGGACAGTGAGATTCTGGGGATTCTCCTGTGTTTATTCCTCATCTCACCAATACGAGAGCAGAGATTATAGACACACACTGTGGGCCATCTTCTTGTGGGTTCTGGGGATCTGAACTTGGGTCCTCACACTTGTGCCACATGTATTTTACCCATCCAACCATCTCCCCAGCCCCATCCCAGTCACAACATTTAGGCATCATCATTGTAGGGATGGAAGGTGGTTTATAAAATAAAGTGACTTCATTTGTCCAGGTTTCCTAGTCCCTGGCCCCTGCCTTTTTGAGACATGATGTGGAATAACCCTGAGCAGACTTCCGCTGTCTGTGTAGCACAGGCTTGCCTTGAATTCCTGACCCTCCTGTTGCCGCCATCTCCCAACTACTGGGATCATAGGTGTATGCTGCTACGCCCATGTAAGGTGGGTAGATTTCCTGTAGATGCTTTTAAAATGAAGGGAAAATGGGTGTAGTGGGGAGGATGCCAAAATAAAGGAAAGCTAAGCATGGTGACAGACTGTTAAAGGCACACCCCAAGGGAAATCCCAGCACCCTCTGATTCCACGGGCCCCTCATGAGGAGGCTCCTGGGGCCTCTCAATTCTCACCTTGCCCAGCTTCCTCACGCCTTCCTTCCAGGATCCTTCCCTCCTTGTCTAGCATCTCCAGGAGTTCTGTCTGTGTCTCTTCCACCTAGAGTGAAGAGCAGGGTCAGGAGTGAGATCAGGCTAAAGCATGCTGTCTCTCAACTGCTCGCTACATACAGCCTGGAGTTACTTGGAGATGGGGGATCAGCACCCCACCTCATCTACAACTTATGGGAAAGGTGGAGAGGCAGGACAGAAGCCCTGTGAGACACAGCAGGCCCCGGAGTTCCTGTTAAAAGTTTCCAGAGGACTGTGAGAGTAGGAAGAGTCTTGGGGGTGTTTCATTGCTGATGTTTCACGGAGTAGGACAGGCCTCTGCGCCTCTACACGGAGCACCCCACTTCACGCTGTTTCAAGTTCTAAAGGCCACAGGTCATTTCTGCCTTCTGCTGTCAGGTCCCTGATCTGTCCTCTGGGGTCCCATGAGTCAGGGGACCCCCGCGTGCCCCAGGCAGGCCCCCTTTCTCCAGACTGACCCCTCACAGCCAGTCTCACCGTCCCGACACCTGAGATGTGAGGCAGTCCCCCTGCCCTCTGAGGGCAAGGCTCAGATGACAGAGTTCCTCCACAGCTTTCCCCGGCCAGCCTGTGTGCTGGGGCAGCTCTGTTCCCCTCAGGCGCTGGTGTCCCCTCGTAGAAATAAGTGTTATAGTTAAGGGTTCTGCGGGGCATGTGTGGCGCCAGCAACATCAGGACAGCTGTGTTATCAAAACACACTACTGCCCCACAGATGCACACATCTGACTCACCCTCTTAGAAAAGACAGGCTTCTCGCAAGTTCATCTAAGCAAACAGCATTCTAGTATATTCAGGGGGCTAAGGGAGGACGAGACTCCCTTTCTTCCTGGCGCTGAGGCAGCACTATCTTGTCTGACTAAACCAAAGGAGCCCGACAGAAATTATTTTAAAAGAATCTTCATGGGGCTGAGAGATGGCTCAGTGGCTGAGAGTCCTCCTTACTCTTCCAGAGGACCTGAGCTCTGTTCCCAGCACCCAAACCTGGTGTGGGACCGGAATGGCCCAGGATTAATGGGGGAAGAGTCGAGAAGAGTATCAACCCCGGATACTTCACGTGAGGAGGGCAGCCCTTGGCTCTCTCTCCCTTCTCCCAACCTGGTGCCAACCTGTCCCACTATCAACCCCTGTAAGTAAGAATTTGCGACCCTGACAGTTATCAGGCTTCACTCCTTGTTTGACCTTAAAACATTTTTCCCCCTCTTAAACCCCTAGACCCTGAGTATGCAGTGATGTGTCTTTCAATACCCTTACATGTCCACACAAACCTTGTCCCAGAGACCTTACCCACCTGCCCAGGGACATAATCCCCCCTCTAATAAACCAAACCCGTTCTCTGAAGCTGTTCCCAGGTATGCGTAGCCTATGCCCACACACTCACTGCTGACCCAAAGCCCTGCATTGCACCTGCATGCCCTGGCTAGGCTTTCCCCTCCTCCACCCCCGTCCCGTCCATTGCTCGAAGAAATGGACTGGCTGCCCCGAGGGGGAGAAACTGACACAAAGCACAACGGGGTTGCTCTCAACCACCTGCATCTCTGCTCCAGGAGCTCTGATAACCATTTCTGGCCCCTACAGACATCCGCGCATGTGCGTGTCCTCATGCACATAAAAGCCAATCTTAAATTATTATTATTATTATTATTATTATTATTATTATTATTATTATTATTATTATTATTATTGGTGTGTATGGGATTTGTAGAGGTCAGAGGTGTCAGCCCTCACCTCCCACCTGGTTTGTGGCAGGGTCTCATCTCTGGTGCATCCTCTAGGCTAGCTGGCCTGCAAGACTCCAGGATTTCCCCGGTCTCTGTCTCCCGTCTCACCACAGAGATGTGCTGGCATTCCAGATGTGTGCCACTAAGTCTGTCTTTGCATGAGTTCTGGGAGCCTGAACGCAGGTCCTCAGGAATACACAGCAAATGCTTTATCCATTGAGTCTCCTCCCCAGACTCTTACTTTAAATTTTAAAGTAACATTTATTAGGCTATGAAGATGGCTCACTGGGTAAAGGCACCTGCCACCAAGCCTGACAACCTGAGCTTGATTCCTGGGATCCTCATGGTGGAAGGAGAGGGACAATTCTTGCAGGCCGTGTTCTGTGCACTGTGGCATGCATGGATCCCTCCCCCCCACAGAAATAAAAGGTAATTAAAATAACTTTCATTTCTCCCTCTCTCTCTCTCTCTCTCTCTCTCTCTCTCTCTCTCTCTGTGTGTGTGTGTATGTGGTGCCTGTGGGTGTGCATCAGCCATGGTGCATGTAGGAAGATCAGGGAGCAGCTTGCGGAATCAGTTCTCTCCTTCCATCACTTGGGCTCTGGGAACTGAACTCAAGTCTTCAGCCTTGGCAGTAGAATCTTCACATACTGTGTTTTCTCACTGGCTCCTGCAGTTCTTTCAAAAAGCCACCCTGGGGGCCCGGAGAGATAGCTGAGTGGTTAAGAGCACTGGCTACTCTTCCAGAGAGCCTGGGTTCAATTTCTAGCATCCACCTGATTCCAGGGGATCTTTACCCTTTTCTGGCCTCTGTGGGCACCCATAAGCATAAGAGTACACCCCTCTTCCCCAGATGAAAACAAAATAAGCAAAATAAACATTAAAAAAATTAAGCCTCCAGTTTAAAGCCAGACATGGTGATGTTTGCCTATAATTCCAGTACCGGGCCAATAGAGACAGGAGGTCCAGAAGTTCAAGGTTTTCTTTGGTTACATAGTGATCCTGAAGCCAGCCTAGGATACATGAGACCCTCTCAAAGCAACAAGAGCAAATAAGCAGACATCATCCATTACAATGAAGCAATCAGTTTCGAACCATGAAGGTTTGTTTGCAGAGATTCAAAATGTCAGAACTTAGCCAGGTGAGAGGGTACATGTCTATAATCCCAGCACTCAGGGAGGCAGAGGCAGATGCATCTCTATGAGTTTGAGGCCAGCCTGGTCTACAAAGTGAGTCCAGGACAGCCAAGGCTACTCAGAGAAACCCTGTATCTAAAAGAAAGAAAAAAAAATTCAGAACTTTAAAGACTGAATCTGAGTTTATTTCCTATTTACAGTTAGAAAGACAGCCAGTTGTATAATAGTGAGAAAACACTCATACACCTGCCTAAGCTTTTCCTTACTGTTTCAACAGCAAGGAGGAAACTGAGGCAGAAAGAAGGGTTCACAGCTGAGCTGGGAAGGAGGAACAGAAAGTCTTGGGCTGTGACTGCTTGAGCTGGCTTTAATCTGAATTTCCTGTACCACTTTCCTCATGCTCCATGACCTTAATCCCTGACTAACACAGCCTTCTCATTGCAAAAAACTTCCTGCATGCTTTATTTCTAGATAATATTTCAAGCCTCCATATGTGCCATAAAGACCTCTGACCTCATACTTGCTATCTATTCTGGACCTTCAAAGCCCTCTAAACATCTCCCAGCATGCCAAACAAGAGTTTTACCAGTGATCTACATCCAAAAACGTTTTTTTTTTAAATTTTATTTTTTTCTTATCAGTTACATTTTATTAACTCTGTATCCCAGCCGTGTCCCGATCCCTCATTCCCTCCCAGTCCCTCCCTCAAAAACATTTTATAAAATCACTTTACCCTTTATTTAGCAAGTATGGGTATGCATGTGTCTCACATGTGCGGAGGTCAGAGGTAAATTTGGGGGAGCCATTTCTCTCCCACCACCATGTGAGTCCTAGGGACTGAACTCAGGTCATCAGCCTTGACAGATAAGTAACCCTTATCTGTTGAGTCACCTGCCCAGCCTGTTCATTTTATTTTTATTGTGAATATATGTGTCTATGTGTGCCACATGCATGGCACATACATGTGGGTGCTTCTGAGAGCCAGAAGAAGGTATTTTATCCACAGGACCTGGAGTTACTGACAGCTGTAAGCCTTGGGTTATGGATGCTGGGACTTGAACTTGGATCCTCTAAGCAACTAACAGCAAGTACTCTTAGTTGGAAATGATCACTGTAGCCCCTGTGATTTTCTTTTTTTAAGATATAGTCTCATTTCCCATTAGATGCTGAAAAAGCCTTTGACAAGATCTAACACTCCTTTATGATAAAAGTTTTGGAGAGATCAGGGATACAAGGGACATACTTAAAAATAATAAAGGCAATATACAATAAGCTGATGGGCAACATCAAACTAAATGGAGAGAAACTTAAAGCAATTCCACTAAAGTCAGAAATAAAACAAGGGTGTCCACTCTCTCCTTATCTATTCAATATAGTACTTGAAGTTCTAGCTAGAGCAATAAGACAACGAAAAGAGATCAAGGGGATACAAATTGGAAAGGAAGAAGTTAAAGTATCACTATTTGCAGATCATATAATAGTATACATAAGTGACCCCAAAAATTATACTGGGGAACTCCTACAGCTGATAACACCTTCAGCAAAGTGGCTGGGTACAAGATTAACTTGAAAACAAAAACAAAAACCAGTAGCCCTCCTATATACAAATGAAAAACAGGCTGAGAAAGAAATCAGGGAAGCAATACCTTTCACAATAGCCACAAATAATATAAAATAATCTTGGTGTAACTCTAACCAAGCAAGGGAAAGACCTGTATGACAAGAACTTCAAGTCTGTGAAGAAAGATATTGGAGAAGATATCAGATGATGGAAAAACTTTCTCATGCTCATGGATCGGTAGAATTAACATAGTAAAAATGGCCATCTTACCAAAAGCAATCTACCGATTAAAAGCAATCCCCATTAAAATTCCAATACAAATCCTTACAGACCTTGAAAGAACAATACTCAGTTTAATATGGAAAAACAAACCAAACCAAACAGGATAGCTAAAACAATTCTGTACAATAAAAGGACTTCTGGAGGTACCTTTAACAAATGGTGCTGGTCTAATTGGATGTCTGCATGTAGAAGAATGCAAATAGATCCATATTTATCACCCTGTACAAAAATCAAGTCCAAGTGAATCAAGGATCTTAACATAAAACCAGAAACATTGAACATGATAGACGTGAACATGGGAATAGCCTTGAATGCAGTGGCACAGGAGACC